TTAAATTTGGTGCCTAGCACATCACATTCGTTTTTATCTATAAAGGACAGTAGCAAGGTTCCTTCTGTCTCATCCAGTTGTCAATACAGCCCCCTCCCTGAGAGGATGTGAGTCTGAAGTATATTTTTTCCTTACGTAAGTGATCATTTTGTCTGCGTGTCTAAATCAAGGTAGAAACAAAGTTATTCCTGGCTGAGGAAAAAGCCCCTTTTTATCCCAGTCAAAGGGCATCTATACCAGGTCCAATTCCTATTTAAAAATTGATTTATTTTTTTACTTCTATTAATAAAACCAGCTGGATCATTGAGTCAAGCAATTGGTCCTTAATAATAATATATCCTGCACAATGTTACAGTTGACTATTGTCTTGTTTCAGAAAATGTGATCTGATATACAAGGTAAAGCTTAAGAGTTCCACACCCTGCTTCTTCAGGTATACTCCCCCTTGATCAATTTTCCTAGACTTCAGTGCATACATCTTTTGTTGCAAGACAGACTTTGAGGTCTTATGTCTCCCTTGCTCCCCCACCCTCCTGGGAAAACTAACCAGCATCAAAATATAACTAAAGCGGCACTCTGCTGCACAGGAGTACATTTTGTCAGATGGCGCTCCTATCAATGCATGGACTAATGCTGTCTCTCCTAATAAAAACAGACCTGCAATAAAAAACCCCTGCAGTTCTGAGTGGGAACAGAGGCAATACATACAGAGGCTGATGATGCTTTGAATGGAACAGGGGCATTTTTTATTATGTGTGCTGATGGAAATAAATGAGGTTGTAGTGATTCAGATTTTGGGATATATATTAGTTATTTAGTAATACAGGTAGGATTTTTTTTCCCCTAAAACTTTTCAGATGTGTGTATGACAGTTGGCTAAATCACTGTTGAGACAAAACTTCTCCTGATCTTTTCAAGACTTGCACAAGAAATTTTTTTTTAAATAAATTAAAAAATCAAGAGCATTAATTTTTAAATAGAAAATATTACTTGCACAAAAGCCTCTGCGTCCTTGTTCAGATCTGACAGTTCTGCTTTCCAAGTTGCATGGATGCACAATGTAAAACCATGGGGGGAAATTTTTTGGAACTAAAATACGCATACTTAAAAAAACCCCACAATACTTTTTAACCTTCATTCACAGACTGACAATTAATTTTTCCTAGAGCCTGCTTCACCAAAAATATATGGTTTCTAACCAGGTTTTGAGGGAGGAGTTGTACGATAGGATTAGTGAAGAGGGGTGAACAGCTTCAGCTAACTCCAACTATTCTTGTTGTATTTGTAGTCTCCAAGGAAACAGCTGAGTTGAATGTTAATTAAACAGCATTCTTTGATCCCCCCAGCCACTCCCAGAGGCATAATAATAATCATATATAAGTGCACACATCAAATATATAAGGTACGTTTCTAAGAATGCATCTAGCTTTGCCATATTCACAATTAGAACATTTGTTGCTGTCTTGATCCTCTATTATTTAAAACCTAGGGAAGAAAGCTAAGTTAAACCTGGATAGTCCATCTGCAAGATAGGGTGACAGAGCAAGCATAAATTCCTATTTAGAGATGTATAAGGGTTAATGATTAGAAGAGTAGAATCAGGAAAGACCTTAAGCCCAGATCTATGACAGTGGTAATTGAGCTGATTGATTACGACATCTCGTTTCAGACGACTATTGATTTAATCTAGTCTGCATTCCCATTGGCCCCAAAGGTGCTCCCAAGTGAAGCTTCAGCACTTGAACCCAAGCACTCTCCCTACTCACTGTCTGGATATAAATTTACAAAACGTGCAGCCATTTGTAATTTACATTTGTCCCCACGTTTTTACTCAGACACTTCTAATTTCAGTAGGTTCGTGTTTTTAACCATCGAGTCAGAGGCAAAGAGAATGGATGGCACAGATTATAGATGGAGGAGTAAAAAAAAAAAAAGAAAAAAAAAGATGTGGCTATGTGGCTAGTATTTGCATCTGTTGTTTCTGATTCGCAGAGCTAGCAAAGGCTGCTTTCTGGAGGCAGTCCACAAAGCTGGGCTATCAGTAGGCAGTTTGCTGTACGCGCACGTTCAATTATTAAAATAGTAGACTTTTTTCTGTCTGATAGCCATAGCGAGGTCATGACATTAATTTATCCAGGGTATTGTGGGTAACTATACAGAAAAAAAGCATAAAGGGCACAGATGCTGGAGCAGCAAAAAATGGATGGGTCTGAGCAAAAGGAGATTAAGAGGCGATGACCAATCTAATGTACGTATAGCAGTAAGAAGCCGGCATCCGTCACAGACTATTGATGGCAATAAGTATTTTAAGCCATGCTGTGCATGTGTTAATTTTTTTTTATACTTCAGTAAATGCTAAGCTGAATGCTGTAATCCTGTATTTTTTCAGTTTCCCAAATCTGATTTCAGTCTTGCTTTTGTTGTCTCATGCTTGGCGTTCTTCTCTTGCTCTCTGTCTCTGTCGGTGGGTGTGTGTCTGCCTCTGTCTCTCTCTCTCCCTCCCTGAGATACCAGACTTAACTGTTTCCTAATTGTCTACTTTTTTTTATTAATTATCATTCTAGTGATTGGTCCTGTGTATGTATACAAACTGGGCTTAGGATGCATTCCCTTATGGTGTGGCTTCCTTTCTCTAGTAATGGAGTTTATAATTTGTGGGGGTTTTGTTTTGTTTTGCTTTTTTTTTTAACTTTTCTGCGAATGGATGCCCTTCACATTTGCTGCCACAGTTATGTTGCCAAACTGCTACCTTAGTTGGTACTGCAGTGTAGCACTGCATGCTGGGATCTGTCTCTGTGGGTAAGCTGGGAATTTCTACAGCACCAGATAGCTTTTAGAATTGGCTTCAGAATTGCGTACCACTCGTTCCCCCTTTTGAAAATGATTTTGTTCTGCAAATCATGGTGGCATGGCTTTGTCTGGAAAAATAATTCAGAAATATTGTTCATGGAAAAAAGAAAAGATAAAAAGTTCATTACACTGTATAGCATGGAAGTACTTTCTATTAAGAACAAAGGAACAGAGTCTAAACACATACAATAATTGTGCTTCACAAATTTGTATAGCATGTGATACAAATTTGTCTGCATTTCATATAGCAAAGCTTTGTGTTTTGTTTTATACTGTGGGTATTATATATGTATTGCATATAGCTGTGTGTGTATACATACACTCTTGGAAAAGTATATGCTATGCTGTATATATACGTTACATATTATTAGCATAGGATACATATTATGTATGTATATGCACATTATTCACTCATAGGTGTCCACTATTTTGTATGTAGAACTGTATGTACAGTTTCTGATCTTTCTCATATAACTCTCTCTTGCACGCACACATGCATATGCACACACACGTGTGCACACACACACACATACAGACACTGTTTTTATTAGGGGAGTCTAAAATAAGAATGACTAATGTCCTGTGAGGTGTGGGTTTAAAACTAGAAACTTATGATTTCAACACTGTTCTGGTGATTCAGATGCTGTAGTGACTTGGCTAAAACATGGCAATTCCTGCAAACTGAGACACAACTAGTACAAAAAAAAGAAAGAAAGAAAGAAAGAAAAGCAACCCCCCCAAACAATAATATTGATTAATATTAAAATTAGTCATTTGAATTTTCAGTATAAAAAAAAATGGATCCTAAAGGCTTTTGAGAGTTGCTACGTCCTTTCTGCTCGTATTGATTCAAGGAAAGGAAAAAATGAAGAAGGCGTAGAATAAACTCTAAGACTGTTAAAGAATTGCTGGCATTATTTCTCTCTACATCACGTGTGAGCCTGGGTTGCCTGCTATTCCTGAGGCAGAGGATCGAGGATGAAAGTCTGTGTGTCAGAGCCTGTTTTCACAACTGCATTTGGAGATCTGTCTTATTGATTAGGAAAAAAAGGGGGTGGGAATAGGAGTGTGAGGTGAGGGGAGGACCGACTGACTACTGGCTTATTGCAGCTCAAGACATTTTCTTCCGGAAAGATGTCAAACAACTGAGACACAGCAACAGAGGAAGTAGAAAGGTGGAAAAATAAGAAGAGGGACCCTTTGGAAGAAATGAAGGCATTTCTTATGAGAGCCTTGAGGCTTTTTTTTTTTTTCTTCTAACATCTGACCTGCAAGGGCTAGAGTGACAGCGTCATGCAAATGCTGCAGTCCTGCAGGTCTGAGAGAGGGTGGATGCTAGAGAGTGAGTTAATGTTAATGATGAGTGCAGTGAAAATACCAGCCGATACCACCCCCTCCACACACAACCGCTCTGAGTCAGCATCCGCTGCTTTGCCTTGCCTTTTTGTGTGTCTGTGTGTGCGCGCGCGTGCGTGTGTGTCTGTGTGTGTGTGAGTGAGTGTGTGTGTGTGTGTGTGTGTGTATCCGTGTGTCTGCGTGCGTGTGCATGGAAGGTAAAAGCCAGTCAGTCAGTGAGAAGCAAAGGTACGTTTGAGAGCAACTAAAATTCTGACTGATTTCCATCTTCAGAGCATCAGATGTATTCCCTAAGGAGGATGGGTCTATGTGATGGGGGTGGTATAATTATGTTAATGTCATATTTATAGAGGGGAGAGATTTTTCATTCTAATTATTGGTTTGAAAGCTGTGGTCAAAAATTGCTTGTAAAACCATGCTCAGTTTAAAGCAAAGGAATGAAATGAAATCTAGGGAATGCTTGATTTTTTTTTTTAATTGTGTTGCTTAACTATTTCATGTCTGAGGCATAACTGATTGAATAGTGCATACAGAATGACAAAAGGAACGCTCTTATATAATGTTGCATTATATCATTGGCCAAAATATTTAAAGTAATCCAAGATGTACTGAAATCTGAGGTAACATTCTGGAGGGGAGGGTGAGGAAGAACAAGGGGCGGGGGGCAATTAGCAGATCTTTTCTTCAGCATAGCTTTCTGTACAGCTTACTTGTAAATGAATGATTCACCTGTTATACTAGAAGAGATTCTAATTTTTTTTCTTTCCCCCACCCTTCTCTTTTTCCATTTAAAGCTGAAGCACTTCCCGAAGAGCACTGAGTTTTCTGTACCAGATTCTACTTCAGTGGCCAGGACCTTTATGGCCGCTGATCCTGTTTGGCTCTGGGTTCTGATGAGAAAGCACCGTGGATCCAGCCCTAAAGTAGAAATTTTCTTTTTTCATTCCGCAAGCAAGGCTAAACCTCGGAGAGGAGAATGAATGTGAATGCAGTTCGAGATTGCGGTCGTGTCATTAAAAGTGTTCGGCTTCCGAGCAAAATGGGAAATCCGATCAGTTGATCTTCCTGTACCAACAATATTTAAAAGTTGTATGTGGTTCGAGTGACCTGGCTCGAGCAACAACAATCTCTGTATGTCAATATTTTCTGTGGTTTATGGAGTGAAAAGTAGTTGCTGGGTTGGAAAGGAAGAAGCTGCTAATCTCAGCCTGTAGAAGGATTAAATGTTGAATATGGGGAAAAGGCAAAAAAAGTAAATATCTGCCTGAAGGCTATCGTGGCACTGAAGATGAGTTTAAAATGCTGTCTATCCTAGGGCCCACCTTAACAGCAAGACTAAACATATAATGGGGGGATATTTAAATTAGAAACCCATTAACAAGCATTTAATCCTTCTTTAAGGCAGTAGAGGAAATAATATAAAACTGTTATTGTACAAATCTTTTAGAAGCAGATTTTAACTCATATGTAGGCTCTTCTTTTTCAAGTATTTAATATAGCATCTCAGGAATCAGGATAGTGAACATTTTTCCTGTACTCTCCCCTTCCTCCCCCCCAGAGTCATGGCATATATTCTAAGAAACATTTTAGTCAATCAAATTATGTATTGTTTTCAGTGTATGTGCATATATTGCCTGCTTGTTTGATATTTTCTGCCCCTACTTGGAAATGTGTTTAACTTTTTTTAAAATAGCAGGGAACAAAAAGAGTTTTACTGAATGCAATTGTGATGATACAGATTATTCGAAGAAGAATTCTACTGGATCACATTGGACTTTTCCTAGTCCCTGAGACCCTAACTTGTGAGGTTTTTTAGCAACAATCACAAGTCAGGCTCTTGGGACCTAGGCGGAGGGGAACCAGCAGCTTTGGACTTATTGATTGTTTTTCTGCGATATTAAGAGAACCAAAGGAAACATTCCTGTCCAGGGGAATTATTAATTTCATATGTTAAGAACTATTACTAAACAACAATATTCTTATCCACTGTACCCGCTAAAGTGGTTATATGAAGATGCTACATATTTGCATGTTTAGAAACCTGTATTGTACAGGATATTGTGTAAAATCTGGAATTAAAATTTAAAACAAATGCTAGATACATACATGAAAAGCCAAGTACTGAAAAATACGTGAAGTATTTCCAACCATGATTCTGCTATTATGGATGATACACATAGATAATTAAGATGAAGCACATGTCCAGTTGTACTGCTATAGTATTTGATTTACTCTTTAAATCGGACAATTTGAACACTGATGCATGAGGCCTAGCACACCATACATTCTGGGGTATAGAGATATGAACAGACAAGAAAACTGTTGCTTAGTTTTCCCTGTAATCCAATACAGAGATTCCTCTATAGTTAGCTGTCATTACTCTGTCTAAGCAAAAACACAATATGAAATTATGAAGCGTCACACTTACTTGAAACCACATTTTAATATGATAAGAAAATTGATAGGTAGTGTCAAGTTCATAACACACTATTGAAATCACTTGGAACACAAGGCTATTTACTCTTGATGTTGATGTACTTATTCTATCTAAACCATGAAAGCAGTATACCATTTATTGGGTTCAACATCTAGTCTCTTCCTTCACTTTTCACCTTTATTCAGTTATAGAAACAGAATGACTTTTATGTTGTCCCCAGATGCAAAATACTTGTGACCTAAGTACACAAAGATTTGGAAGGACAAGATACGTTGTAACATTTATCAGTCCCTCAAAGTGCTGAAGTATTAAGTTCCGATGAATCACTTCGTTTCCTGTATCTACCCCAACATGCTGCAGCACCTTGTAGATGGTGTGCTAATATCAAACCTCACTGATTTAAAACAAAGGCTTTACACAGCACAAGCATCTAAACAATTTGTTCATTTCAAAAGCAGTATTTTGGCTTGAGTTATTTTTTTTCCACGCATGTAGGAGGAATTGTGCATTATTGTAAGTGACAACCCTTTGTTAAAATAAATTATTCTTACGCGTTAGCATAATTTGTGTTTTTGTTGTCCTGTTTTCTAAAAAGACAGAAACAATGCACTATATAGTTTCCAATCAAGTTGCTCAACCTACAGTTAAAGTTTTACTTCAAATAATTGCAAAGAATTTTCTTACCAATCTGAAAGATGACACAGCTCCTGATCATGACTAAACTAAATTCTTTTCTTCATAAAACCCTCAATCCCACCTGCTCAGGTCACTCAAGAGTTATCTGGAAATACTTCATTCATCTCAGACATACTAGTAATTCTTTTCAACGAAGACATGCTGTCTTCTATTGGTTTCTATTTATGTAATCTGAGAGGAGAATATCTAAATCTGTGTATGCAAAACTAAAATATCAAACTAGTGTAATGCATTGATGAGGCACTTTGGTAGCAACTGGCTTACATTTTGCATTACAGCTGCTATCATTTTTTTATAAAGGCAGTATTGATTTGCAAATATATCTAGGTTTTGATCTTGTGAATATATATTTTACCCGTATGAATTACCTCATAAAACGTAAGTATACTGTGTATATGCACACAGTGATATATAATACTTATGATATCTAAATGTTGCTGTACACTTTTCAAAATTAAATTCCTGATGTTAATTTATTTAGCAGGTAATTTTTGCCCATGCATACACATATGAGGGTTTTTTAGAGCATTTATTTTTGTGTCACAAGAATGTTCTTGAGCGCAATAAGTTCATACTTGACACAGAGTAATTCATTGTGCAATTCTTCTCCCATGTAAAAGGGGACATTAGGCACTGCATTTTTACCTGCCAATATAAAGATACCAAATATTTTTCCTTGTGCAGTGCGATAAAAAATGCATCCAGGAAGATCCTGACTTGACTCAGTTGATGTCACAACAAAACCATGAATACAACGGAGTGGGACACAATACTGGCTCTGCATTTAGGGCTTTAACTGAGGTAGTATAGTGGATATTCTGTGCCACCACTGCCCCTTGGAAAATGAGAGAAAAAGTTGGAGCATATCATCCCTTCACAGCCTCTCCCCCACACCTTTAATTAACCCAATTCAAGCACTGCAAAACCAAGCACTGGAGTGGATTAAAACCTTTATGAAAATATATTTTCCAGTTTTACCTGGGACAGAAATCCCACTGTGGTCAATGAAGCTTTTGCCCATGTCAGGACCCCAGGACCAAGTCTCCAGACACTCTGTAGAATGCAATTTTATTTATAATTTAATAGCATATGAGAGTATTTATTAGCTGATTGGCAGCCTGTATCTTTGGTATTAATGGTTTTTATATATAACAATCTATCTATACTTACAAATGCATTTATAATATACATAAATTCATTTTCTGTTGCAGTATAATATTTTTATATGCTGTAATACGTGATTGGGGGTAATCAGCTCATGCTACAGTTAGGGAAAAAACAACAAAACCTCTAGCAACAGAGAGAGAGAGGGAGAAAAAATGATGTGTGCTGCATACAAAAAAGGAGTGATATTAACAATTCGATGAATTCCTAGTTGGTAGACCAGACTGAGCCAGACGCATATATTAGCGGCTGTCTGCTGCTGATGTGAGCCTGCTCAATGCAGTGGAAATGAAGGATCACCTAGTCTCTGACACCAGCTTATTTGTACGTTTTAATTTTAAAAAGGAAAATCACTGTTTTACATAAACATCTTAACCCCTGCATGATTTTCTCTTCCCCCCCCATATTGTTTGCTAATTTACTGTCAACTTAAAGTGCTGTTTAGCTATAGCCCAACAAAGCATCAGTCAAAAGCAGGGGGGAAGTACTTCTCTTTTGTCTGTCATGTACAATTGGGTTATTATCATGATAATCAACTATTTTAACTTCTAATCTTCATAGGGGACACATCAATTTTTCAAAAAGTCATTTTAAAGCATTTTTCCACTTCAACAAACACAACTCTCTTAAATGTATACCAAAAATAAAATGTGTTTACACTTCAAGCTAGGGGTGATTTGGTCACTATCTTTCATTAACCTGGATGTCCTTAACACCTTAATATAATATTACACCTACAGGGCAGGATTCCTTTTCTAACCTTATAAACATCATGATCCATTAATGCTGTCTAGAAGAATGTTACATGAGTCAGGGGAATTCCAATCCAAGTTAATTACTGTTGGAATTAGAGAAAAGGATATTCTACCTTAAGTTGAGTTACAGGAATCTGCAATTACTACATTTCAGGGGATATTTCCATTCATTTGATGAAATATGTCAATGAAGTGTAACAGCAGCTTTTATACATTTACATGAGTAATGAAAATCGGCACATTAATGGTTACCTAACAACATTGTTCACTATTTTAATATGCAGCAAAAAATTCTGTTGGAAGTAAATGCAGCCATCAGTTTGATTTGCCAATATGATGATTATATTCAGATCCTGACTGGGTATTTAATTTAGCACTAAAAAGCAGGCATCTCCTTTTAGGAACTAGCCATAGCCCTAAAAAGAGGCCAGCTTTCCAAGGTCAGAGAGAGAGAGAGAGAGAGAGAGAGAGAGAGAGAGAGAGAGAGAGAGAGAGTGTGTGTGTGTGTGTGTGTGTGTGTGTGAAAAATCTCTTGACATTACACACATTTTAATTTTTTTAAACAGGCAAGTGTTCATTAAAAAGCTAGGATCTCATATATAGTATCATCTAAATTGTATCAGTGACTAAGTAGGTGTAAGGACTGTATCAATTTTGACATATATATTCATTTAAAATACATTCATCTAAGCAACACATCTTTGGTGGGTTATCTGTTGGTAAAATGTTTTACTGTTTAGTGTTTATAATGAGGTGTCTTCAGTTTTCAGTGAATTTCATTCCTCTAACACTAGATTCATCTTTTTCAGGTGAAGTACATTAATCTAATAATATTAATTTGTATGTAAAACTACATTTTCCTCACTGTGAATGGGGAACAGGTGGAATAGGGAGGCTACTGAGACAAAGTAAACCTAAATTTGCCTAAACCAACACTGATAAAATTATTTCACCTTTATAAGAATTTTTAACCTGACAAGTAGTATTTAAGATTAATCACAGAAGTTTATCTCATAGACTTTCAGGAGTTCCATCTTTTTTCTTGTTCCTGTTTCTTTAGGAATTAAGGATTAGTTTGTAACTGTGTGATAAACTAGATAAAATAATGATGTTTTTAACAATACAAGCATCCTGTGGGAGAAAAAAAAATGATATTTTTTTTCTTTTTCTTGTTAGCCATCATAAAGGAGTGTGAGATTCTTTGCAAGGAATGTGTACACACACACACACACACACACACACACACACACACACTCTCTGTCTTTGCAAAGAATCACAAAATATGTATATATGTGTAATGGAAAACAAGCTAACATTGTTTGGTTCTGTTTAGTTCTTTCATTTTTTAGATAAGTTTATATTCTTAAATGGGAAAGTGTAGGGGGAGAAACAATTATTTTGCAGAGACATGCCCCATCACTTTAAGCCTTTCTTGGACTGTGTAACAATACTGACAATGTGTAAATCTCATTTGGGGGTTTTACTTTAACAGATTTCCAAGTATTATATTAAAATATTTCAGTGATGGATACATATGAAAATAGTTGCACTAGGAAGTAACTGGATATTGAAAAGGTTGGATGGCATCTGTACAAAGAGCCAATCGGATTTTTTTTCTTCTTCATTTAATTCCATTCACCTAGTAGGCTCCCTAAACATTAGGCAAAACCCAGTATGTGGCTAAGTTATTGCTCTAGTGTTCATCACACAAAAAGCACAGTCTTAGCATTTGTAAGTTTTCTTCAGGGAGGTTTCTAATCTAGACAGCATTTGCGTTTGGGGATTACACCACAATCTGTTCCCCACCTCCTCCCCCTCTCACATGTAGCCCTTTCAACTTCTTCAAAGAAGTGGAAAAAAGTAGGTTCTTTTATTAATAGCAGAAAACAAACCGACTGCTGGACTTCCGTGGCAGAGCTCACATAATGCACCAGGGTGGGAACTGTAACAAAGAATCCTTGAATGCACTAAACATATAGTGAAGCCCTATTTAAATTCACTGGTGGAGCTTAGAGTACAATAAGTGGAAAGTTTAAAGTAGAAATTAACCATGAGCATAAAAGGAAACCGTACTTTTGTGAAGGTAGATACTTCCTTGAAAAGACTGGTTCAGAATTTTAAGTTTCAAGCTGTAGTACCTCCTAACAGAATGCACTTCTAAAATATATTCCTTAACCCAAAAAATCACCATGTATGTTATATTTGGTGAATGTAATTTCTCATGCGCCTAAGACTAATTCTGTTCACCTAATGCATATGTTGGGTTTTTATACTAGTTTGGTAGTTATCGATGGAAAATACTTCTTAGATCCCAATCTGTCCTTTCCCCAGGGGGAGGATATAGTATCTCAAGAAACCCCTCTCATATGATGGAAAGTTCTTTGTGTCTAGAGGAAAGTTTGAATATGTCATCCCTTAAGGTTTCCAATCTGTTTGTTTGGCTTTCTGGTACATTTTTCACACACACACACCCCTATTCTATAAAGGATGCTGAAAATATAGTTTTGCTAAAGGAAGAACTGGGTGAATTGTTCACCATTTTCTGTTAACAGATGTCTGAAATCAAAATGCAATATTAACCCTTAGAGGCTCTTATACTGAGTATCAAAGTTGAAGCCTGTGTCTTTGTCTTCATCTATTAAGTTTCTTCTTTTTCTAACAGCAATAACCTCCTCTTGTATTGTCATAATTTCCTCACCCTCAATACAATACAGTCCCATCTACAGTCACCACTGTAAAGCACTATTTAATACCACCACCTTTCTCCCACCAGTTGACTCAACCCCTGCCTCCTGCTGTTACTAAAATGGCTACTTTGGCCCATGCCAGTTCTTTCACCCTCTGAGTGTGAGTTCATAGATACTATTGCTTCCTACCCCTTATTTTGCTACCTAAGTAACAAAGTCAGGAACTGGGATCTTGTCAGGAGTGTCAAGCACCTACATCAT